TTTCATGTTTCAGTTGTTTTTCCAGTTAGATATTTTGTGCCTAGTAAGATTATAAGCAGCTGAATATATTAACAGCAAAAAAAAAAAAAAAATTTGGCAGGGGTGTTTTGAGATATTGGGCCCCAAAATTGGTTTATAGAAACTAGTTGTTTTATTAACTTTTAAGCATGTTCCTTTTATATTTCAGCATTTTAAGTACATTAATTGAAATCAGCATCAAAAAAACATTATATATGTTTATTTTCATATTTTTGCCTTTTTTTTTTTTTTTATAATGTTATGAAAACTGGTTCTATTTGGGAAACCAGGTCAATGTTAAAATTGCAGTATCTTGTCAACCGCTCAACATTTTTGGCTGAAATTTTGCATGCAATATTTTTTTATAATTAAGAATAATGTGTCAAAATATAAAACAAAAAGAAGACACATGGTTCAATGGACTGGGTTATTTGATGTGGAATTACCCATTAGGGCTTATTCTAGGAAAAAAATTTGGGCCTCTTGCCATTCAATATGATATCTGATAGTTTCTGATAAATTAGTAATGCATGATATATTTGGAACAAATCCATAATGATTTTAAGATATATTTGCAGATAGATACTCAGTTAAACAACAGTTAAACTGTTAACATTACGCTCTAGGAGTTCATAGCAATCACTTTTTAATGTGGTATAATATTAACTTCCAGCAACATTAGTGAGACTTGACCTTCATTGATTTTATCAGTTGTAATGTTACCACTTGTCTCTTTCATATATAGATTTTTCATACTTAGTAATTTAATAATAGTTTGTACAACTATTGAATTATTATTGTCTATTTAGTAAAATTAATAAAAGTTATTAGGGTTGCCAGATGCCTGAAATTTACGAAGGCAAACACAGTAAAAAAAATTTATTCATACAGGTGTATTCTCCTCCGTAAAAACCCAATATTTGGCGACCCTAAATTTATATATATATATATATATATATATATATATATATATATATATATATATATATATATATATATATATATATATATATATATATATATATATATATATATATATATATATATATGATTTTTTAGAAATACTAAAATCACAAAGTTGTTTTATTCATATTTTTATGGCGCTTATTTTTTTCAAGTATAATAAACTAAAAAAAATTAAAAAGTTGAATAAAAATACCTACTTAAAAGATGTGCCATTTTTCTAAGTTGATGTTGAAAATGATATTGTAACACAAGCTTGTAATAAGTATATACAGAGCTGCATAAAGTTCTACATTTAGAAAAAATATTTGTACAATCAATATTCCTAATAATTCAAAGTGAGAAAAAAACAGCTCATTAAAAAAAAAAAAGAATTTCATTTCAGTAACAATAATTAAAAAATAATTAAATTTTATTAACAATTTTCATCAAAACTTTTTTAATTAAGTGAGCAAATGAAATAATAACAAAAATTCTGATCAAAAATATAAAAAAACAGATTCACTAGGTCTGATGCTAAGGTAGATAACTAAATCTTGTATTTTATCTCAGACATGAAGTTTGGAATGCTTTACCATCCAAAACTGTAAACACAGCATCACAAATGCTTTAAAGTACTTTTTAAACAGAAACATATTAAGCAACATAAATACACAGAGTATCATCAGTATAAAAGTGCCTGGTACCGCACATCTTTATTTATTTATTTGATAACAAAACAAAACAAAAAAATATATAAGCAAATAAGAAAGTCTGCGGTACCTACATTATTTATTATTCTCAGGACTAAATTTTTTTTTTATGTATATTTATTTTTTTTAAATTATTTTGATTTTTGGACTTTTTTCCTCTTGAATCTAATAACTACACTCTTTCTGACATACCAGAGAAACAAGTTAATCTATTAATTAGAATTCCGAATCAATCTAAATTTGCTAAAGTTATTTTTTATTTAAACTCTTCTTCAGCATATGATCCAGATTATATTCCTGTCACAATTTTTTTTAAAAAGTCTTTCAAAATTTTTTTTGAAAAAGCAACACCTTTGGTTTTAAAATTTTTAGAGATTGCTCTGAAATCATTATGTCCTATATTGTTTTTTATCTAAATTAATAAATCTTACCTCTAAAGTTTTTTGCTGATGACTAAACTGCACTCTTAAAGTCACCACTTTTTATTTGCTTAGAACAGGCAGCCAATCTTAATTGTGATCTCACTTCTGAGCTTGGGGCTCAAATTGGCTGATAAACTTTTACCAAAACAAAATTCAGGCAATTTACTGAACCCTTTATATAAAGTTTACTTTGATTATCCTTCAGTACTGTTGTCTTGAGGAAAACATATATACATCAATTGCAATAATAACATCTGGGGTTGCCTATTTTAACTGTGCATGCAAGTTTTGTTACTTCTGATTCTCTACCACTATCAAACTTTAATTTGTCATTGCATTAAATATTCATATTTAAGTTGATTATTCTAATAATGTCATTTATATTTTAAACAAGGTCTAAAATGCATTATAAATATAGTTAGACCTGTTCTAAGATAAGTGATACTGAGGGGTTGTCCATTAATTACGTCAACAATTTGTCGTCAACAATAGTGGGGAAGGGGAGTCTGAACTTTTTTGACAATTGTTGACAAGGGAGAGGGGGGAGGTCAATTAAAGTTGATGTCAACTATTTATTTATTTTTTTGAGTTTCATTGCTTAAATAACGGAAAATTAGGCTGAGTTTGTAGCGTTGCGTCTTTGTATAGGGGAGGCGGGAATCAAAAATTGACATAATTTTATAGGGGGTCTTTGGAAATTTGACAAATTGTTGACAAGGGGGAGGGGGGAGTAAAAATTTCATAAAAATTGTTGACGTAATTAATGGACAGCACCTGATTGATTTCATTGAGAAATACAATGGCGTTATATAGAAAGCACACCATACTTAATTGCATTAAAAAGAGATAGATATAAATTACAATTTGTATTTGTATGTGTGTTTTTGTTTTTATAAAAAAATTATTAACAAATTAGGTCAATTAATCTAAAGGAAATCAAAGACAAAGACATTAAGTTTTACAAAATCTTAAATTTTTCAAAACTATTTTTGAATATTTCATTAAATAGGAGAAAATGTAAATCATATAAATTTATATTGTAAAATGATGATTTTATTTTTAAAATTTTTTTATCTTAATCGATGCATAACAATTAAGATAGGAAGAGAATTTAGAACAGTAAATTATATAATGCTGATTTATTTATTAATACAATACAATAAATATATTTGAATAAATTGTTTATTTGTTGATCGTTTAACTAAGCTGTGACAACAGTAGATGTCAAACTTTAACAGTTTTTTGCAGTTTTGTATATATATAACATACTTTGTATATACAATAGAGAGTTTAAAATATGTTAAATTTTTTTACATTTACAACCTCTTGTAATATATGGTCCAATTTGTTTACTATTTTATTTATGAAAAAATTATGCTGACCATTTGTTTGTTTGCTTTGTTATCTATATTCTTTTATTGTGGCATCTTATAAAGGAATTTCTAAAGATATTAGAGAACTTTATCAATTAATTATATCTAAGCCAACGATAAACCTGTATAGTTTTCAGTGTCAAGAGGTTGATTTTATTTAAACTGTTTTCTTATGATAAACTTTCGAACTTATGGGTACAAGTTGTTCTATGTTAGATTTTTTCAACTATATTAATATGTTTTTATATTTCTTTTATGTAAATATTTAAATGATTAGGTCCAATTTTTTGGAGTGCTATTTTTTGGACTGTATATTTGTTAGAGTAATTCCAATTTAGATCATTTAAAACATATATACCAAAATTTGTTTTCTTTTAATTTAATGACGTAAGTTTTAGTATTGGAATTATTATGCATCAAGTAATCAATTTTAGGATTTTATTTATTTTTGCTAATGTAAATAAAACTGCACTTGTCTTTGTAATATTATTTTAAAAACTATTTAATTTTCCATTGGATAATTGTATCAATATGAGTGCTAGTCAATTAACACCCCCAAAATATTTTATATATTTAGATGGAATAAGTCTTTTACTAATACTTTTAGTAAAAGACTTTTTCTATCTAAATATATAAAATATGATACTATCGACTTATTTATTTATATAACTCATATGAGCTAAGAAGTATATGCTGTCTGAGCCTATAGTATATTCTGTATATTATAGTATATTCTGTATTTTATAGTATATTCATAAATAATAATTCACCCTCCAAAAATGAAAGATTGACAATTAAAAAAAAATAACGGTAAAAGTTTAACCGTTAATTTTTTTTTATCTAATAAAAATTCTTTAATTTTTGGAAGGCGAAAAATAAAAATATTTTACATTATTTTTAACTGAATATAATAGTCAGTAATAAATAAAATAATATAATACATTTTTATTATTGCAATGTAGTATAATTATTTTATATTTATTATATAATTACAATATTCGGTTTTATGATATCTAGAGAAATAAGGTACTATTTAAATACACAAAAGATGGAGATCTCAACTAATTTTTTTACAAATCTTTGATAGTGAATTATTAATGCTTGCAAGAGTTACATCATTAACGATATAATGAAAAACAGAATTATTTAGAAAATCATTCATTTCAAAATAATCGTTTATATTCTTAGTTAAAAGGCGTAAATTTTCGGTTTTCGCCGAAATTTTCTATTAAACCGAATTAACTTAATTTTGGTTGAGATAATTTTTACTAAGTCCCTATTATTGTTTTGAATTCATGAAATCAGGCTTCATGTGATAAATCAGGCTATCATTCTGATAGATATGGATAAAAATCATCCCGCCATGCTTTATTACATACGCAATATAGTAGTACCACTTTATTACAAATGTAATATAGTAGGCCATGATCCCGCCTAACCGCGAAAAAAAAACAACCCATATGCATATCAAACCCATATGCAACAACAACCCATATGCATATCAAAACCCATATGCAAAATAAAGTCATTCCTTGCCAGTACATAATAAAGTCATTCCTTGCCAACGCCTTAGGTAATAAACTAGAAGTACTATCACAATAATTAATAAAACTCCATCCCGGCCGTTTATTCGATCTCGAACACTGTTTCTTATTTCTTCGTGATTTTAAGCTAATGGACGAATGTTTTTATTACTACTTTTCAAGATACCAGAAAATTTGAAAAAAACGCATTAAAAAGTGTCCATAATAGAACTTTAATTCATTGTAAATAGTCATATTATCTGATTTTTAAACCTGTTTTTTCACAGAACACTTTTTTTGTTGTTTTGGTTATACCGTTTACATAATATCTTGACTAATACTTTATGCAACTTCTTGAAATTTTCAACAAATGTTTGTTACTAATATAGCTACAAAATGACCGTTATTGAAGAGTCTCGCTTATTCAGATTTGTACTTTTAAAATTTTGAATAGGCGAGTAAAACTGTGAAAATCACTAATTCTTAAAGCTTTGATAGTTTGAACGTGAAAGTGGTTCAGATTGTAGTTAACATTGTTATAAAACAACTATGCAAATTTCAAAGTTTCAGAGTCACTCATGGTAAATAATTGTGTAAACGTTTTAGCCCCAATTTTGGGACTAAAACCAACTTTTTTATTAGGATTGAAAAAAAAAAAATGGATTTTGTCTTCATTCGACCTATATTTAGAATTTATGTTAACTATATTTGTAATTAATGTGTTTTAAGAAAAAGTTGTCTAATTGTATAGAAGTAGAAGGGAATAAATTAGTTTTTTATTATTTGAATATAGAAAATTTACTTTGTTGCTTGAATATAAATTATCATAAAAAAGTTTTTTGTTACTTGAATACACGTTATTTATGATATTTATTTCGTAAAATACTCAATATTACCAAACTTTTCATATGCATATAGTAAAGTTAAAAGTTATCAAAAAAATTTTGTAAATTGAATTCGTTTTTAAAAATTTTTTAGTTTTAGTTTTAAAATTGCCCAGCAAACACAAAACGTTCAAATAATGTTCGAAGAACGTTGCGAACGTTCAAGCACGTTCTATGAACGTTCATAGAACGTTCTTTAACGTTCGCAACGTTCGTTGAACGTTTTGCATTTATCCAGCTAGCACACTAACATTGGGCCAACGTATGTGAAGCCATCGCAAACGTCAGCTCGTTTTTCCTATGCAAAATCAACGTTGATCCAATGTCATTTGGTTAATGATAAAATTATTATCGATGGAACTAAAAACATCTGGCAAATTTACATTGGTCCAATGTATGTAAAAACATTGCAAAAAGTTGATTGTTTTTACGATCTAAACCCAATGTTGATCCAATGTATGTATTTCGACGTTGATTCAATGTATATAAATCAACGTTTTTCCAATGTATGTAAAAACATCGAAAAAATTTGATTGTTTTTTGAACTAAACCCGACCTTGATCCAATGTATGCGACCAAATATTGCTATTGCGAAATTATATAGCTTAAATAAAATCTTCCATGATTATTAGAATATCAAACCACAATCAACACATACATGATTTTTGTTCGGATGATCAAGCGTTAACAATCTTATTTACATATATATATAGATAATGTTTACGTCGGCTATATATATATACTATTTCACTTTCTAAGATCGTGTGCAATTCATTCCTCTTTCTCTATGCTATCTTTCTAACACGACTATTTCTGCCCTTCACCCTAAAATATCTTCGTTCTTCCCGAACTCTCCTTACTCTCGGTCTGTAGAGCAGATTATGACGCTCCTTTAGGAGCCGAAACAAGTCTCTGCGGACCTTGGTAATGTGTGGCCTCCACAAGGCAATTAGTTTGCGGAGGATAAACCACAAAATCTATATGTATATATATATATATATATATATATATATATATATATATATATATATATATATATATATATATATATATATATATATATATATATATATATATATATATATATATATATATATATACATATAAATATAAAGAAAATAGAATTTACTGAAAATTGAATTCCAAATAATATTGATTACAACGTTTTGCCAAAAGTTCAACGTTGAATCAACGTAAATACAACGTTATGCAAACTAAAAATACAACGTTGGGCCAACGTACAAAATAAAACGTTGAATCAACGTAGAAAATATAACCATTTTCCGACTTTAAATAAACGTTTTATCAACATTGGTTTTTAATTGTTGGCGACGTCGCATTTGTAACCGTAATGATATAAAACAACGTTGGCAGCCGATGTTGGGCCAACGAAACACGCGACATTGTTCTAATGTTTTAACAACGTATGTGTGCTAGCTGGGTGCTGGGTGACGTGATGTTTGTTTACAAATACGACATATTAATTTTTGACATACTAATGATGTTTTCATTTCGACCAGTTAGGGAGGTTTTCAAATTTAACCAATTTGAGAATTTTACTTCGAACGGATTAAAGATGATTTTTCTTTCAATCTACTACTCTGTGTAGTTTTCTTGCAATTTAA